ACAATTTTAAGGGTCTAGGGCTTGAAGCAACTTAAAAAATCCTCTCAGTTACATTATACACTATATTTGACCTCAGGTCAAAATCAGCATTTTCAAAAAATAAGCATTACCTGATGGAAAATATCCTTCTTGAATGATCCTAATTTTTACAAAACAATAATTATTGGTTACTGCATTTATATGGTAAAATATGAAAGAGGTTTTTTATTGTTATACTGCACAACCTTGGGTATGGAGTATACCCATCCGACAAAACGAGTTCATATTTTCTCAAATAAATGTAGTAACCTTTTTATTATATGTTTATGTTCTTATTCTTCCCGATCCTTAAAAATATATAAACAAAAATACACTACAATAAACAAAGTAACCGAATGTATGCCGTTTTCTAAACAGAATCTACAAGCGTAGCTGCATCTATACACAACTGGTGCACGTATCTCCCGGTGATTCAAAAAGATGATCTGACAAAACTACTATAAAGAAATAAAATATATTATTAATTCCGTATTTTGTTAATAAAGCTTCTGGGCCTGATGGCGTAAGTCAGATAATGCTTAAAGATGTAAAAAGAAAAATAGCGGCATCACTAACAATGTTTTAGATCTAAATTTCAAATAAATGGAAACTTGTGCACATTATTTCCATTTCAGAAAGAAGTGATCCATCAAGGATGCCAAATATTGATCAGTCTCTCTTCTTAGCTGAGTGGCAAAAATCAAGTGTATAATTACTTTCATTAAAACCTTTTTTTTATAAGTATCAATCAGGAATCCAGTAAGCATTCTCTCTCTCTCTCTCTCTCTCTCTCTCTCTCTCTCTCTCTCTCTCTCTCTCTCTCTCTCTCTCTCTCTCTCTCTCTCTCTCTCTCTCTCTCTCTCTCTCTCTCTCTCTCTCTCTCTCTCTCTCTCTCTCTCTCTCTCTCTCTCTCTCTCTCTTTTGAAACAGAGTGGAAAAGTCTGCAGTCTAGAAGAAAAAGAAAAAAATAATTAAGACTGTGCAACGTTAAAATGAGTCGAACTCTAGGCTGTCTCATCTAATCTCTTTTGCCCTGTGTCTGAACAAACAAATTTTAACATTCGATGTTCAAATTATATTGTCATTCGAAAGTTTAGGCTAAATTCCACAAAATCATCTTCTACACCTGCAATAGTAACTGTGTTATAAAACTTCGAACAGTACTCAATATAGAGTGTGTCTTGCGGTGCTTTGAGAAATTGTTTATGTCCAAATATACTATCTAACAAAATACTACTTTTTATTAATCAAACCATAGCATTATCCATACAGATTACGATAAGTTTCTTAAAAGCTGACCTTTACCATGTTCAATTTGTTGAACCCCTTTTTATTCCAGCGGTGGGATCGAAACCACCATAAATTTCTTCTTCTGATCTAAGCACAGTAGACAACGAACTTTGATGAGAAAATTACTCTCATTGCTATATACAACTATTACCTTAGATTTACTGCTTTAGGAAATGGGCCATGCAATTGAAAAATACGGAAATTCACTTCATGTATGAAAATATATAACCCCTACAGGACCATTTCAATAACTTACTCAGATCATGACTGCTCTCTCTCTCTCTCTCTCTCTCTCTCTCTCTCTCTCTCTCTCTCTCTCTCTCTCTCTCTCTCTCTCTCTCTCTCTCTCTCTCTCTCTCTCTCTCTCTCTCTCTCTCTCTCTCTCTCACCATTTTTCATTATTACTGTGACAATCTCTCTCTCTCTCTCTCTCTCTCTCTCTCTCTCTCTCTCTCTCTCTCTCTCTCTCTCTCTCTCTCTCTCTCTCTCACCATTTTTCATTATTACTGTGACAATCTCTCTCTCTCTCTCTCTCTCTCTCTCTCTCTCTCTCTCTCTCTCTCTCTCTCTCTCTCTCTCTCTCTCTCACCATTTTTCATTATTACTGTGACAATAGGTGGATTCAAAACATTAAACCAACCCATTCTCAGCGGTTCGTTGCTAGGGAATGACCTCCTGCGATGTAATTTACCCAGTGTGGATGGATAGAAAGAATAATACAGATCTCTGAGCAAGTATATTGAAGAAATAAAACAATGAGCCCCTTTTCAATGAACAAATATAAAATTTAATCAATTTAACAATAGAATTCCAAAATGTAAAGAAACCAATTACTTTTACTACAAAAGGAAAATGTATGAATATGTACTCAATAAAAGCAAATACAAATTTCACTTCACTATTAATTGTCAGTGACAGAATTAATAGAGTTTCATCAACGCTGAATGACATCATCATCTATCTTTATCCATTCTTTGAATTTTTCATTCCTTCCTGTCCTTCCAACCTTTGTCTAATCGTCTCTGACTTGGACCCTTGCCAGTCGAAACCAGAACGGTTTGACGATAGTCTCTCGAATCTGGAACTGGAATTCGTCTGTGGACATTCCTGAGGAATTTTGCTGAAGGAAATTTGCTGAAGAATTGGCTGAGGAAGCTGTTTCTTAAATAAATAAAAATGTCCTGCAATAGACAATTAGACAATAGGTCACATTTTCCCAAGTATGTATGTATGTATGTATATATATATATATATATATATATATATATATATATATATATATATATATATATATATATATATATATATATATATATATATATATATAATAGGAATCTGGAACGACTGTGCATATATATATATATATATATATATATATATATATATATATATATATATATATATATATATATATATATATATATGAGAATTATTTACTAGGTCGTCATGCGAGTGTGTCTGCTACGCACAATCTTGTATAACACCGACTCAGTGCCATCACTTTTTTGGTGATGTGTGCTTAGTCACGACGGTGTATGGGCTGGTGCGTGCAGGCAAGGCGATGGATGCCGATTACTCGCGGACCTGAGTTCGAAACTCGGTAGAGTACGAATTTAATTTCTCTAACCTGTATTAGAGTATTGTTTGTATTAAACTATATATATCCCAGCTCAGATAGTATACTGCCTAATTCTGTTCCACTCGCTCACAAATATAAGCGGCCATTACATATATACAAACCTTAATTCAGGTTCACGAGCTTAGCGGGATTTTATTGGCTTCGGCTTTACGACTAGCACGTATGTGACCGTATATAACTCCCCATGACTTCTTTACATTGAGCTATTTAATACAGTCTAGTGTTAAGTTACATATGACTTATCCCATCAAATCTAACAATTCTAGAAAAGTTTACGCGATCAATTAAATATTGCGAACTAGTATATGAATATGCACTCAATACATGGTTTACTACACAGAGATTTAATTCATAAATCTACGAAACATTACCCATCATGTATTAGGGTGAATTCATTAAATTCCTACGCATTCCTACTTATCGAGTATTCAATTACATGTAATCTTGTCAATTCTCTTAATGAATTGATAATTTGAAAAATCAAAGAATAAAATGTCGTGACTAACATTTCACTAAAACCCTGAAAGTTAAATCATACATGCATCATAATATCAATACATTTGCAACTGAATCAACAAATTAAATAATATATTAAAATCTGGAAACTAAGATTGCGTACCTTTGCCGTTTATTCGTCTTCCCACGAACTTCCAATGTATAGTTTGTCTACTTTCTGAGACGGCTAACTCCCTTTTCTTCAGTCACGGGGGAACGTACTACTGACGTTCGTCCCTCGGAGTCCCGTCTAACTTCTTTCAAGCAAGATTAAATAATTTTTGATTAACCAGAAGAGGCTAATCATGCCGCGATTAACTTTCCTTTGAACAATCAATTATGACGTGCTTCCCCTTTTTACCGGTGTGAGTTTGAAGAGTGTTATGCCAAAACCTTTGTACCAGAACAAATGACTCGGTCAAATTTCATGAAGCAAAACCAAATTTCCTTTGACGTTCAGAGATGAAATGAGAATAATCATAGAACTGTCTCTTGCCCTTTCTACTTTAATTAAATTAACTAACTTTGTTACAATTCATTTAATCAATACCTCTAAGAGTTTCAAAGTTCGACACATCACAATTATGTTGTTATATTTAATATGTCTTAATATTTGTATCACGTATAGAGAGAATTAATTTAAGTTGTTAGAACTTGTGCCCAATAACACTGTAATCTATTGTGACATTAAAATATGTCTAAATTAATGCTGAAAATATATTTCAACATCGCAGTCCAAATTTATATATTCTGAATTAATAATAATAATAATAATAATAATAATAATAATAATAATAATAATAATAATAATAATAATAATAGTAATAATAATAATAATAAAATTAGTAATAGTAGTAGAAGTAGTAGTAGTAGTACACGAAATATAATAAATATTTAATCTGTATGAACTTCACATGTTTACAAAATATCTATGGCATGCACGTTATTGTAAATTTGACAGTAAGATATCGCAATAGTGTAATCATTAAGGATTAGGTAGTGCAACACGCCAGGGATCTCCACTGCCTAGAGAATCAAGCAAAACCTGCTTAAGGTTGGCTTGAGGTCGATGTTTTTCCTATTTACAACGACTTCAAGACAACAGTCGTTGTGGACTGAAGAGTTCGTAAATGCACTAATACCACAGATAATATTTTTTTCTCTAATCATCTAGTGACAAATCATTCACGATGTACTAATTTCATACGTAAATGGTTTATATTGCTTCAGATCTTTTTGCTGTACGTTTCTCTGCGATTCAGATCGGTATTTTATGATACGCACTTCAAAACATTGCCCAAACACCAAATATGCAACCATATTTCCTATCTCAAACTACTAAACTCGTATACGTGAAAATACCATGAGCATTCTTAAATTAAGAGAGGGTCCATTTACGAAGAAATATATTCTGCCTTAAAATCTGGTAAATATTGTACATTTACTCCCAGTAATTGGCTTATTACTCTGGTTGAGAAATCTGTTCCTAACACCGACACCCAAACAAATAATCACTCCAATCTAACTAAGCTATAAATGGACATGCATATATCCTACCGCTCAAATAGCCTAGTGGTTATAGTGTCCGCCTTGGATGCAAGAGGTCGCGGGTTCGAACCCCGACCGAGTCATATCAAAGACTTTTTAAAATGGTATTAATAGCTGCATAGTTTGGCCTCAGCATTAGGAGGTTAGTGTTAGGGCTGATCGGCCTGGTGTTAGGATAATGTGACTGGGTGAAATGATGCCTCAGTGCCAGACATCACTCTAAACTACCATACCTCAGACGTCGTAGCGATATGACTAAAAAGTTTTAAAGCTAGGTTAAAAATCCAACTCTCACACATACACACACGCATTTGCCTTAGGCTTGTTACAACAATACTTAACTATCGATTTCTCCCCATGCCTAAATAGCATTAATTCCACGCAGACGAGAACAGAAGAAAGCTCGTCGTTACCTGCTACTTTGATTAGATAAAGCGGTATAAATTAGTTTGTATTTACTTTCCAGGCATGTTAGTGCCTGAACTGCTCGACACTATGATATATAGAAGACTACCTCCTATGTATGCATGTACCAATGTAACTGTTGCATTCAATCGTTTCTAGTCAAGATAGATTTAATTTCATGGCCAAACAAATTATACTATTGGGTGGTTTTATGTGTAAATTCACGCATGTTTCCTGCCAAGCAATATATTCCTGTGTTTGTTCATGACTCCACATTAGAATGTCCACACCCATGTCGAATGCCAGGCTCTACCATAAAGTGAAACCATAAAGGCCTTAATACGCGTTCTTATCCCCAAATTATTGCTGACAAGGTGAAAGGAGTTGCGCGACATTATACACGTACACAAATACGTGCATGCAAGCACGCAAGAATAGGTCATAGTCACATACTTTTTCTGTCAAGACGAGACGTCCTACCTCTTTCATTAAAGACGTGACACAATCAGGAAAACTGAATCAGGCACCGGTCTGATAACAAGTATCTTGAATGTTATAAATCTGACACATAGCTTCGACGACCAACCTTTTAATATATATATATATATATATATATATATATATATATATATATATATATATATATATATATATATATATATATATATATATATATTAATTTTCAATGAATTTTTGGAATGACATTTCTCGTTCAAAACTGGTCCAAATGATGCCTATATGTCCAAGAGATAATTCGTAATTTATTACTTTCAATTACTAAGTGCCATGAGTGTGCAACTTCGTGTTCCAAAACACCACAATTTTTGCTGATGGAATTTAATGCTAGTAAACACGTATACCCTTTACAAGCAAATGAGGTTCCTCATCCGTGGTAATTTAAATGCTAAAGATGGCACAAGTTACCAGACGTGAACAGGTGTCATGGGTAAAAATGGCTTTTGCAGTGCAATAACAACAAACTCCTCTTACTGCTGAACACTAAATCCCAATCACCAAAACAGCCTACGGTCAGCCAAACGGCACCAAGACGTCTTTGATGCACCCACGCTCCAAGCAGTGACTTCTCAGTGGCTACGTCACATTTAGGAGAAGACGGTCAGGGTGTCTAGGTGGCAAAGGTCAAGATAAGTGCACAATACTGGACGGATCATATGCTCATATTCTCAAAGTTCAAAATCTATAATCAGCCTAGCAGAGAACCATAATTCACAGAAATGCACAGAAAGCTTAGCGTCTAAAAATTCAAACAGGAAGATGTGAAACAGACATTTATGAAAAAAATGTGCAGTCAACCAGATACAATAGATATGAATTCCGGGAATGTTGAGGACAACTGGGCATCCTTCTGGAACTATACACTCAGCTAAGTCCAAATCCCTCTTTGCAACCTATGTAAATGTCAAGATTGGTTTGGTGAAAACGATGCTGTCATATGGATACGTTTGAATTTAAATATCGGCTGGGCAAGGCCTGTTTAGAAGACATTACATAAAAATGCAGAAGTCAGGACTGTCCAATGCAGACTCAGGTAGTTGCAATAGTCTTGGCTGAGTAAATAAGGTAGATAAGATTTAGTCCTACACAGAATGGACTATCATGAGGAACTTCTATGACGACAATTAACGGCCTTAATCATGGGGAACATTTCAAATATCGACTAATGACTGCACCAGACTGCTCATTAACAAAAAAAAAATATAGTTCAAAGATGGACAGAACATACTAGCAACAAGCTCAATCAACAATCGTGTATCAATGGCAAGGCAACTAATAGACTGTCCAAAGTGGAAACCATCGTATCACTTGATGATCCTTCAGCTGACCAATCTTAAGAAAGCAACAGACTCGCTGTAAAATGGCAAAACACCTGCAAGTGAATGAACATCTATCTGTTCTTGCACTTTTTTCTACATCACAGCTGCTCTTTATTTAACCACAGCAGGTTAACTCTGCATCGAATTATGACTGATTTAAGGTACGATAATGTGATGATGTGCCATTAAATCATGAAATGACTACTACTCAAGGTTGGACGGTGTGCTGACATGCCGTTAAACCCTACAACGAATGTTATTCAATGCTGGACACTGTATTGACATGTTGTAAAACATAACAGAGCCTACTACTTACGGCTGAACACTGTGTTGACATGCCGTTAAACCTTACAACGACTACTATCTAAGGTAATTTTAATGCTAAAGGTGGCACAGATTACCAGACTGCAGTGACTACTACTTATGGCAGGACACTGTTAATATGCTGTTAAACCCTATAACGACTACTATTTAAGACCAGACTCTGTTTTGAGGTGCTGCTAAATCCCACATCAGTCACTATTATGAGTGGCTATTTAAATAAGATTATTTCACGGAAGGCATCATATTCCTGCTACGACATGACATTTGGGGCAACATCCTTCCTTCTTTGCTGTTTGCACTCATTAATTGGTATGATTTATCTGGGCACACACTGTATTTACCAAGAAATAAATGGATATCTTTGGCTGATTATGAGCCCTCGTCTTTATGTTGTCATTCAGTCACTCATTCAAATTAACAAAACTTTCCAAAATATGTCGAATGACATATGCTAATTTTGCACGTGTTGCATCCAAATTATTGCTTAATGAGAGTAGTATAGCGCTAATTTGAATTAGATTATAACTAAAAAATTGGACAAATTAACTTGTATAAATAGAATTAAGTACCCTCCCCCCAAAAAAAATACAAAAATAAATACTAACGAGATATGGAAAAGGGAAGAAATGTGACGTATCATGAATGTGCCTCATATTTTGTTTAATTATGGAATTTAATGTTTATCTAATAAAATTATTGCTTAGCTTTTAAGTACATCACAAAATATTATAATAATGGTCAAATATAGAAAATTAAATACTCAATCTAATCCATCGTTATACTAGTAATGCTTTATTTCCACTGGATGCAGTGTCCCATAGATGTCAGGGTTTCGAGTATGGTCTTCAGGCTTTCATGACGATCCGTGCAGATTCTTTCTGACGGAGTTTGCAAGTTTTTCGTAATTAGCCTGAGTCTTTCTCTTTGCCTCGTCACTTCATCTTGGACAAGATCCATTAATAGCAAGGCAGCACCCTTCAGAGACTGTAGGTGAGAGTCCACAATGATGGGTGTTTATGACCAAGCAGCTTTGTAAACGCCAAATTTCTCTCGCACAAGTTGCTTGCACGGAACTTTAAAACATCATAAGTAACCTGTTTAACATTCCACATTATTCATGGGAACATAAGAGGCAGAAGTCGAAGAGGACTGGAGGCACGTCATCACAACCGTCTGCTAAAGGCGGATGAACACGCTGTTCTGTATCTGCCCGAGTATTGTAAACATAAATTTCATGCCCTATCAACGTCATCCATAGGGGTAAAAGGCCGACCCATTCAGCATCCCCCCCAAAAAAAACAGTCGGAACTTTTCCTCCGTCTTGTAGTGGTTAACCATTCCTAGAGTTTTGAATTTTCCGCCAAGTACTTTGGGTGAAACTGAAGAAACAATCCTGGGATTTAACGTGAGGACACAACGTTGGTGCTGGCATGGATAACTGTTGTTTTCAAGGACAGTAATCACAGCATTTGAGTAACGATTGAAGCCCAATTCTTCACATTTCCCCAATAACCTTATTGCCCATTAGTGCTCACATGACGTACAACTGGTTACATATATGCGGTGCTATGGTATTGGTGCGGTCAGCTATATCTGTTATACTTTTCTGTTTCTTTGTATATATTTTTATAATTTTTACGCATTGGCTTTATTGTATATCCTTCCTTTATCCATATATCATTTAGTGTTGTATGTGATGTTCTTTTGAGGGGGAGGTAACTGTGTTTAGTATGTCAGTGTTATAACTACATGTATTTACATAATTACTAAGTAGTATGTTTTGGACATGCATTCTTAAAAGTAATTGAATCCTACAGGAGTAGATACACTTCAGAGAAATCATAAATAAAAATACTGTTGTGAATGATGAATGCCACCAATGGAAAGATCTTTGAAATAGTGTTGCATATAATATATTGAGGCTAAATTTTGGGTGCGAAGAATAAAAATTTTAGCACACCGACATGACCCTACTGTGATGCTGACATCAGAAATTCATATCTCATACTTCGGTGATAATAGGAAATGTTTCAATGTTATGCATATATCTTGAAATTTCTAGGTTCAGTTAACAAAGGGGGAAATATCTTAAAATTAAGTGGCCATTTTATGCATTTGATAATAAACATACAGTTTCTCTTCTGAAATTCTTGTGTTTTCACTGAATATTAAAATTACATCATTGATATCTGTTTCGTTACTTTTGCGGGCCTCAGTTTGTATTGTGGTGTATTAGAATTAATTGGTTAGTCATGCTGAAAGAAGCAACAGCTTGAATCTCAGCCAGATAACCATTCTAGTCTAAGTGCACAAGACAGTCACTTTGGCGGACAGATTTAGCTTTCGCAGAAGTTTTTAGTAAAAGATTAAAAACAGGAAGTTTAAATGTTTTTATCTAGAACAAAATTTTCCACTGTTAATGTTTGTTCTGTACCTTATATTATTATTTACTATGAATTTGAAAACTTCCAAAATCATCAAAGTTAGCTGTAAATGAATTTATGTCTGAGAAGAAATTT